TGTCCCTTTATAACTGCATACATAAGTTCCTGCAGTTCCCTGGTCTTTGCTTATGTGAAAATATCTTTGCTCTTACTCTGAGAAGGTAGTTTGACAGGTACACAATACTAGGTGGACTGTTTTTTTTTTTTCCTTCAAAACCTTGAATAGTATTACTCCCTCTTCCAGTTTCCACTGTTGATAAAAAGTCTGCTATCAACCTGTCTCTTCTGAGTAACTGATATATTTTCCCTAGCTGCTCTAAAAGGCCCTCTCTGCCATGACACTTTAATTTTATTATAACATATTTATGGCTGAATTTATCTGTGTATATTCCACTTAGTCTAAGCTAGGCTTTTTTCCTATCAGTATATTTATGTCTTTCATCAGTTTTAGAAAATTCTCTGCCATTGGCTCCTCAAGTATTAATTGCCTATATTCCATTCTCTATATTTTCTTTGGGGACTCTAATTAGATACATGCTAGAACTTAGTTTTTTATATTTCCATATCTTACTATCTACTTTTGGTACTTGCCATTCTCTTCCCCTCTCTTAAAAATTCAGGCAAATGTCTTCAGATTTAACTTCTGATTAAATCATTTGCTCTCTATCACTGGCTTATCTGTTATTTAACTACTTATTCATTTGTTTTAAGTTTCAACATGTCTACTTTCAGTTCAAAAAAATGTTATTTTTTTATTAAGGTATCATTGAGATACACTATCATAAAGGTTTCACAAGAAAAGCAATGTGGTTATTACATTCACCCTTATTATTGAGTCCCCCCCACCATACCCCACTGCAGTCACTGTCCATCAATGTAGTAAGATGCCACAGAGTCACTACTTGTTTTCTCTGAGCTACACTGTCTTCCCCATGATCCTCCCCACTACACCATGTGTACTGATCATGACATCCCACAATCTCCTTCTCCCTCCCTCCCCACCTGCCCTTCCCCACCCCTCCCCTTTGGTAACCACTAGTCCCTTCTTGGAGTCTGTTAAATCTGCTGCTATTTCGTTCCTTCAGTTTTGCTTTGCTGTTATATTCCATGAATGTGGGAAATCATTTGGTGTTTGTGTTTCTATGCCTGACTTATTTCACTGAGCGTAATACACTCAAGCTCCCTCCATGTTGTTGCAAATGGTAGGATTTGTTTCTTTCTTATGGCTGAAGAGTAGTCCATTGTGAATATGTACCACATCTTCTTTATCCATTCATCTACTGATGGACACTTAGGTTCCTTCCATATCTTGGCTATTGTTAACAGTGCTGCGATAAACATGGGGTGCATATGTCTGAGTCTGAGAAGTTGTTTTCTTTGGGTAAATTCCTATTTGTTTCTTTTTAACATTCCTGGTCATTTATAGACTCAATGGATTTGATCAATTTGTAAGTCTGATTTTCTTTTCTTTAAGCATTACTATTATTTTACAACTGAAAATTATATTATCTTAAGTTCTTGGGTATCTACAACTATTACTTGCATTTTACATTGATTTCACATACAGTGGTTTATATTCCTATCTGTATGGTGAGATGAGTTTTTGTAATAGTGAGTTCATCTAAGTTTTACCTTAAGCCAAAGATATCGCAGAGGTGAAAACTGACATACTTTCCTACAAACAAATTTGTGTTTACCTCTGATAGGAGTCAGAGGAAGGCACTAGTGGGGCACCCCTTTAGCCACCTTCCAGGTGCCAGCTTAAAGTGCAACTCAGACTCAGCACCTTCTCTCATCCAGTGACTCCAGGCTTAGTCTCCTGAGCAACTGTAGCATCAATACTGGTATTTGCACACAGTGTAACATCACATTCCATGCTTGTTGTTCCCTTCTCCCCAGTATGAGATTAGTTCACTCTTAAGGAAGGGAGAAGAGAAAAGCTTCAGGTATTCCCCTTCATACACAGAAGTCAAGCAAGGCATTCAAAAGTATATTTTACCTAGTATAGCTGTTTTATTAAAAAATTTTCCCCCCACTTACTCCAAAAACATAAGTTATAACAGTAAAAATGTTGATAAGGAGGATGGTAGTCAATTAGAGAATGGGTACACTGTTTAATTAAGTAATAAATAATAAAACAAGTGGGGTGGAAGAAATAAATTCATCAGTAGAATATAATAACTCGGTCAAGATGTGAGCTAGGGACATTATAAGTAAATGTAAAACATTAGGAAAAGAGAATTTGCCAAGTTCTAGTTACTGACTAGATAATGTTTACAGTTCAACCCAGGTTAAACCTGGTTCTTCAAGGAAAATGCCCACGGAATGGAATCCACACTGAGGTTTTTCACTCACAGCTCTAAATTAACTCCTGCTTCTCTGCTTATTTTATAGTTTTCAGTTTACACTACCTTTTCACTACATTATGTCATACATATAAAGTACTCAAAAGCCTAGAATATTCCACAGTAATAACAGAATTATGGTTCAAGTTTCCCAACATAAATAATGTGAATCAACATAAATTTAACTAGAAAGATATACTGTGATGTGGGAATCTTGACCTCTTATACTATGTTCAAAATGTAACATTTTGGGAAAATGCTTTGATAGCAGATCAAGTTTGCAACATCCATGTGACTATTTCACTTCACATCCCTGGAGCTTCCACTACTGATTAACTTTCAGTAGGGTTTCTTTTACTTCCTATCAAGCTGTGACTCCTGATATTAATTTTCTAAATTTCAAATATTTCTACAAGAACTCGTAAACATATCAGAGATAAACTACTCAGGACCTAAAGGATCTATGATCACACAAATTACATCCATTTTTAAGAATAATTCCAAGAGTGTTTTAATGCTCTGGAGAGGGACAAGTGCTATTCAATATTTTTATCTAATAAAATGCTAATAGCTTGACTTAAATTCAAAATGCACAGACAATTGTCATTGGGTGTGGAATCCTAGATCCTCAGAAGGGTTCCAGACCACCTAATAGTCAAAGATTACTGCAAATTATCATGGAGACCTCGGCTCATTCACAACTACTGTGAACTAAAAAACTCACAGGGATTTCATTTACTTAAAGATATTCACTAAGCACTTTTTAGCTGACCTGGTGCTATATCCTGTAGATAGCAGTGAACGAGACAAGACTAATCACTTATCTCTAGAGCTTACTTTCATTACTAAATATTACCTAAATTCTGAGATTATTCACTAATAGTTTTATTTATACTTTTATTTATCGGGAGATTTTCTCATTTAAGCAAAGTATATGGAAACTCTGCTTTTCTGGACAAGTTTTCAAGAAATGCCCTCAAGAAAAGCCATTTCTTCCACGTGATCTGATATCTACATATATCTGTGTGTGTGTGTGTGTGTGTGTGTGTGTGTGTGTGTGTCTGTAAATGAGTGTGTGCTCATGTTATGGTGGATTTCCTTGTGATTAAAGAAAGCCTCCTCCTTTAAAAAAAAGATTATCTAGTTTTTATATCACTTGACAAATGTACACACAGAGTATGTACACTAGTAAAGCTCGAAATGAAGCTTATGTCTGCTAGCCCCAGAAATAAATTAATATGCAGTAAACAGAGGAGTCAGAAACACTTACTCCAAGTGTGAACACATATTTGATTGCAGGACTGTCTTTCCCAGAATGACCTTATAAATTAAACAGTGTAAATCTCAAGGAAGTGTTTTCTGAACATTTAGATTCACTGTGAACATTAGGGTGCCCTTCAAATTAACATCTAACATTATTAGCCTGTTGTTGGACATGAACTGCTTCATTACTATGACTGAGAAAACATACACATACTTTGCTAAAACACAACTTTTAAAAAGAACATAAAGAACAGTTTAAATTCCTGAGATGTTAAAATTAAAATAACAAGACTTAAACTAGGATATTGAGTCTACATATGGAAAAGCAAAGCGCTTAAGAATAGTAAATAAAGCTCTTTACTTTGATGCTCAGAGGCACAATAACAAGAAAGCACCCAGAAAGTGCTGAATAATATGTAAATGTGCTATACTACCTGGATTTTGCTGAACTAATTCTTACTTACAACCTTGTCTCAGTTTAAATCCTCGCCCCTCAGGGAGGTAGTTCCTCCTTTACCACATTGACCATGTGGTTATTATATTCAAGAATATTGGTATCTACTTCATCTCTAACGACATGCACTCTCTTACAATGATCTGTGCAGGTCTTCCCTACTAAACGGTTAAGTTGCATGAGGGCACTGACTATGATTGCCTCATTTTCTCCTTTGTAACCAGTGCCTGGCAAAATAGATAATTCTGGATTAACCAGTTAAGCAATGAATACATAAATGAAATAAAGATACACACATCCTGAACTAGAATGTGAAAATAGGAAACATTAACTGGGGAAATTAGCATTCATAAAAAGAATAGGACAAAAGCAGAAGGAAGCCACTAACATACTTCATGTCTGTTTACGAATCTGAAATAAGCAGTTTTACTTGATCAGAGGAGCAAGTGTACAGAAATCCAAAGTCTCACATATTACATAATGCTCACCTTCAGGTTACTGATTATATGCAAAATAAGGCTGTTGCTCAATTTTTTAAAGCTACAAGCATGTCCAGTCTCATTTAAAAAAAAAAAAACAAGCAACATGTTCTCAAGCTGATTGTTTCCCAATTGGAACAGAGGCTAAAACGTATTACAGTGGCACTTTTCATTTGGGAGCTACTCCATCAGAAATGATGCGACATGGAGTCACTTAGCAAGGACAAATAAATGAATTGTGGTGAATGAGTAGACCCATCAACTTTATCAGCATTACTGTGAATTTTAAAATACTCTTAGTAAATGATACAGAAACAGGTATGAAACATGAGAATTAAGAGTCTGAAACAAGTGACCAAATTAAAAGCCATGGTTATTACATCTACAATTATATAATCTGCAGTTTTATGAATGGTCTTTTCATGCGATCTTGTCCTGTACTTCCTCTAAGACACCACAGTCATTCCCAATGATTCCTGATCAGCCCACTGGATTCTTTCCATCATTTTCTTGCTAATTCCCCCATTTGGCTTACCTGTAGTGTCGGGAAATCTCCTCTTCCACCTGGGTAATGAAATCACACTTGGTACATGAGTGTTCCTTGCTTTCCTTGACAGCTTGCTGCCCATCCAGTCCTGGCAGGTGATTGGCTTCTTGTTTGACATCCGATGCTTGAGGCTCATGCATGCTCTCATAGTGAAAGAGGAGCACATCTACATCAGGGGTGGAGAACGAGCACTGGTGGCACTGATGTTTGACTCTCGAGTTCCCAGCTGCCCCAGGAGACAGGTGCAAAAGCAAGAGCGCACAGTGGGAACAATTACTTTTTCTACAAGCAAATGGATAAGTAATTTCTCCAAGGTGCTTTTCTGGGCTGCAAAGGCCTCTGGGACAGAATGGACAGTGTTTGATGGTGCATTTATGAATGTTATGGAGTTGCTGATAATGACGGAGAAGTGGCCCCACTACAATTACATCAGGGCCATGGCTTTTGGAGTATCTAAAGTCGCAGAACTGACAATTGTAGCTTGTTACCATATTATCCTCAGTTCCCTTGCTGGAGAAGTCCTTCTTTTTAGCCCCACTGGAGCCCTTGTCTGCCTTGGCCATCGGTTCCCCTTCTGTACTCTTGGCTAGATCATTCTGATTAATGACAGAGCCCCTGCAAAGCTTATCATTCAATTCTGGATTAAGGCCGCTTGACTGCGCTCCTCCATGCTGCTTGCCATAATGTTCTAGCAGTTTAAGGGAGCTACATGACTCACAGCTGAAACTACAAAATTTACACCAGTAGTAACTGGTGGCCTCGGTACCATTTTGTCTTGAGGAATCAAGGGGCTTGATGGGCACTGAGTAGCCAACAGGAGTGTCATCTCCTGCCTTGACCGTAATCTTGTCCTGCCACTTTCCCAAGTCTCCAGAATCACTGGGTCGAAGTGCAGGGATGGATTTGTTAGAGTTTTTCTCTGAAGGTTTTGCACTCTCAGAGGAGGGGAGAGAAGCTTTTATTTTGTTCGGGTGAGTCTGAAGAAAATGCTGTTCTAGTTCAGTTGATGAGTTGCCCATATAGGTGAAATTGCAGAATTTACAGCGGAAGTACTTGGTGTTTCCTTGGCAATCTGGTGTTTTCCGTCCAATGCCAATGAATGTTCCACCTGAAGTGACCTGGTATAGAAGAGACAGGTGTTATTTTAAAGGTATCATTAGTTCAATCCTCTCTCTAGGAGGCAGGAAGAGACACTGCCAATGATTCCACATTAAAAAACACAACAGTACATCTACTTATTATGAAGCCATTTGAATCATCAGAACCAAACAAATTCTCTCATTTCTCAACAACTTCTCTTTGAGAAGCCCATCATGCCAACCATGATTGGACAGAGTAGTAAATGAAAATATGTAATAAAAGTACTATAACTAATTCATACTAAAACTAATGCATACTTTTTTTAAAAAGCTAAGAAAATAATTCTCAAGTAAGCAGGTTTTATTACTGCCTCCTTCAAATCACACGCCTGTGGAAGCAACCAAATCACAGGCAATTCCTTCTCAAAGTTAAGAGTTGCTGTCAAAACCAGAGGCAGTTGCTCAGATATTACTCAATGCAGACCTTCTCCAAGGAAATCCTCTTTAGTTCCAGCAGCAGTGAGGCTACAGGCAAAGATGAAGTTTGTGGTTTAGGAGAGGTGCTAAAATGACCACACAGAATGACTTATAACTGAAGTCTGAGCATGCAATACCATCCTAAAAATAAAAATGAAAAAGGGCTTGAAGTGTTGGTGAAGAAGAACCAATGTACAGAATTTAAAATGTTTCCCAATCTAGGGCAAATGATAGGAAGAAAGCCTCCCAGAGCCTTATTTGATTAAGGCTGTCTCACAGCAAAGGCCCAGCCCCTCCCATGGACTTGGTCATGGGGATGTTCAAAGGCCAAAGTAAAACAATTCGATCATAAAAATCACTACAGATCTTTTCTCTATCCGAAATCATTAAATCATATAGTGTCAGCAATGAAGGGCACTTTCTAGAAATGGCTTCCTGCCTTTTCAGTGTGCAATGCAACGGGAAGCTTACTCAGCGCCATCACCGAGCAGCCAAAATTCCTGGCTGAAAAGTTTTAACAGAAATGCTACAAAGAGAGGGAGATTTCCTCTTCCAACTATCAGAATTTTTGAATTTTTCCAGCAACCAGATGTAACAGATTAAGCACGTGGCATAACTGTGTTCTGCTTCTTCAACAGCTGCTCAAAAATGACATGTGTGATCACTGCTCATATCCAAGTCACTCCCTGAGAAAAGTCTCAAGCATCTCAAAGTCATCTACAAGGTTGTAATTAATATGTAAATAAGATTCCTTTAGCACACTGAGAGACTGCCTGTACTGCATCTGTACAGAACTAAGACTGAAGTCCATTCTGCCACTTAAAGAGAGATATGACCTTGATCAAATTACTTAACCTCTCTGGAGAAGAGCTTCCTCAATTGGGGCAAACTGTAAGTTTATTTCCAGTATTACAGTTCTAGGAAATGTGCATGCATACATAAACAGCTCAACATTTACTGTACATTAAGATAACTGTTAAACCTCTCCCACAGCCTTTAATCCAAAGATGACAATGTTTTACTTTTGACAGTGTTTATATCCACCATGGCGAACACACAGACTTCAGTCTGTCATCCAGAGAGCATCATCTAATCAAAGGAGAAGAGTGGGGCACCATCCCAGGCAGCAATCTGATAATCAGCAGTGTGGCAGATGTCAAACTCAAATCACTGGACTTTGCATATAATACAGTCAATTGCATATTCTAACCTAGCACTTCAGTGACTTGAGCAATTAAATGTTACAGAGAAATATAATGCATAATATTGCAAAATTCCTCCACCTATTTCCCAGTTCACTAGAAGTGAGGAGAAATCTTTTCATAGAATAAAAAACAGAAAAGAAATAAGGCATTTAAATGGGATGTCATCAACTCAGGTACTTTGTTCAGGAACTTCAAATTCAAAAGGGGCAAAATCAGAAGTATCCCACTCTTCTCTAATGTAAGCAAAGAAAGCCAGTAGACAAAATCTAGAGACATAAATTTTCTTGTTTTAGCTACCACACTGCTTCAGAGTTGTGAGCTTCCTAATACAAAATGTTCTGAACTTCTGCTTGTAGCACAGGGATTCCTGAGAAATCACGATGCATCACCACTACTTCTTTGATTTTTTAATCTTCAAGTTTCACGTTCAATGCCCACATGGAGAGGGCCGAGCAAAGAGTATATATATTCTTAAGAAATACCTAAACATAGGATTTTGCAGTTAATTTGAATTGTTATTGAGCATCACAGCATCCTTCCCAGTATCTGACAACAATTTGACATTGAATCAGAAAGTCCAGGGCTAAGAATGACTACTAACAAGTAAAGAGACCACTAAGGAAAGGCCACTTCATGAAAAAACTGCCAGTAAAGAGCTTTAGTTTAGGATTAACTAAGCTAATACGAAAACTGCATCCAATCTTTCAAGTTGGTGGTATCTGTGTGTCTAAAAGTTGCGTTTTTTACCCAGGGAAAATCAGTCAACTCCATTACCTGGGAAGCTTTAATGGTCATATACTTTATGCTGAAAAGTGCTTTCATACTACTGACTGCTCTGTCAAAAACTCCTCAAGCCAATAAAAACACAAGGATCTCATTTAATGACAAGAAACTTCTACAGATCATCTATTTGCTTCTTGGTAAATTATATTAGTATTTATTAAATATTATTGAAAGCTAATATAGTATTAGCATTATATGTTTTACACATTATAAAAGCCTACTTGGGAAAATATAATTACTCAGTGTTCTACTCCTTTTCTCTTTCAAGAAGATCTAAAGGCTACACTTGTGGCCACTTTTATACTTTCTCTGTAAGAGATGTACACTTGAGTCATGGCAAAATATAACTGATGTGTATCACATAAATACCATTCTAAAATAAAACACAGTTTATTATTTTAGGGGACCATACCTGAGACTCTGGCCATATTCATTTTATTTTCATGACCCACAAATGTTAATTTAAAATAATTACTTTCTGGGTCAAACACAATTATACAGAAAGAACAGTTACACAGACTAAGTGTTCTCAGCAACCTTTTATTGAATCTTAGTGTGGCTAACAGTGCCTACACATTGAGAGAATTATTCCTAACTTTTCAAATGGTTAAACTCAGTAAGGAGTAAAATTATGATCATTCCCTAGCTATGACTCTACTAAAAAAAGACACCACAAGCAGAATAAAGGGTTTAAGTTTCAATCTTCTTTCACTAACCAGAAGTTAATTACAGCGCGCATTAATCCAGCAGTTCTTTGATATGGATATCCACACTTGAAAAATTTTTATTAAGCTGTAAATTCTGTTTGGGCCAAAAATTACACCTATTCATACAACCAATTAGTAGTGACTGAGTGTTTAGCTTGTGCCAATCTCTGTGACAGATGTTGGGATATAATAGTGAACAAGCTAGAACACATCTCTGCCTTTAAATTACTTTTATTTGAAGATCAAAATTTGTCAGTAAAATCCTTTATTCATTTGTATTGATCTCTACTGGCATTTGTTTGCTCCCGAGGGAAGTTCTCTAAGGTGAAACCTGTGGAAAGACACATTGCTTAATCTCGTGGTACCTCGGTCTCCTCCTGTAAAACGTATATACTTACCATCTTACAGGCTTACTGGGAGGGTCAAGGGAGAGAATTTATCCCAAAGTGATTTGCAAACTTTCGATCAATGCTGGTCAACAGAGCTTTCCGAGAGGATGGAAACGTTCTGTAGTCTACTCTGTCCAATGTGGCAGCCACTAGCCCCATGTGGTATGGAGCACTTGAAACAGGAGTAGTGCAACTGAGGAACTGATTTTTAGTATGAGTGCTTTTTATTAATTTTTAATGAATTTAATTTTAATTAACTGAAACTTAAATACCACATGTGGCTAGTAAATACCATATTAGACAGCATACTCTACAGTACTGTTCACCTGAGTGGGATTGTTATTTAATAAAATGAACTGTCTAAATGAATTTCTCCTGCCAATGTGAAGACTAAAAGAAAGGGGAAACGGCAAAGTCATTCAATGACAAAATCTGAAAATTGTCATTCCCAGTGTCCTCAGCTGTAAATGAGAACGTTCAATGCCGCTGTTGCTGAGCTAATGCTTCTGTTTATATTCTTCTTGGACTGAAGGAGTGGCATTTTATTCATCTTTGGAACTTAGCAAGGACTCAATACATTTTAGTTGAGTGGATGAACTCATTATGGGAAATGTGAACATAGATGGAAATTGGAAATGTCTCACCAAGGCCCATAAGTTACCTGGGGCAAGAATGTGACAGTAATTCACAGCCCCGTTGTCATCAACCCCACCTGACGTATTTGGGGTCCTTCAAGAAATAGGACAAAAAACTGCATCTTTTGTCCAAAAACAAGTGGCTATGGAGCAATTTGTTTGTGAATTACAGTTATAAAGAAACACCCAACATACCTGGTAAAGGCATAAAAATGCACAGATTTTAAACTTTTTCACTAATTGGGGACCATGATGGCTTTTTATTCTATCTTACCATTAATTTTTAAAACTATTCCTTCCATATAGTATGTTCCATGGCATTCATTTATAATTTATTTTCACATGTTTTTTCACAAAAATGTTCCACTGTGGAAGTTAAAAATATAAAAGGTTGGCTTTTGTCAAAGTCTTTAACCTCAATTTATTTCACTCTCCTGAATAATATGGAACAAAAACTACTAAGAATAATATCTAAAAGAATACGTCAAAAAGAAAGATGTTTTTAAACCTCGGATCTCTTAAAATGACACTTGAGCACATGTACATATTTCCAATGGAACAAAAAGAGTTGTTTGAACCAAATACAAACTCTTTCTCAGATGTGGTTCTGTTTCAAGTACTACAATTGATAGCAACAGAGACAATTAGGAGGGTACCAATTTAAGAAGACTTGAGGTTACGAGCTTATAGTCAAAAAAGCAGAACCTCCACAATAAAAAGCTAAGTTGTTAGATATCATAGTGTAAATACTGACATTACAAATAACTTGAAGAAATCTGTCAAGGCCAATCCTGGCTGAAAATAACTGGAGTCAGAATTAATGTGCTAATCTGCATAGGGAAT